AAATATTAAACAACAGAATCGCTAAGAAACTAGATGCGTTCCAGCCTGTGGAGCAAGCAGGCTTCCGCGGAGGTTATAACACGGGGGATCACTTGCATACAATCAACATATATATCTTGCCTTCATTGACTTCGAAAAGGCCTTCGATACTGTTGAAAAATGGGCCTTTCTGAACGCTCTGAGGAGATGCCGTATAGACAACAACTACATACAACTTATCAAAGCCCTCTATGATAACGCCACCATGACAGTTCAGGTCTACGACGGAACCAATTCTATACCCGTAAACCGAGGGGTGAGACAAGGCGACACAATCTCCCGGAAAATATTTACTGCGGCTCTAGAGAGAACACCTTAATAATTTACGTTTTGCAGATGACATCGTACTCCTCGCATCGCAGACAAAATGAAAACCTCCAAACTATGGTCTTAGCCCTAAACAACGCTGCAAAAAGCCATGGTCTTCAGATGAATGCGAGTAAAACAAAAATAATGTCAAACTCAGGCGACGCTACGATGGTCGATTTGGGTGACAACAAGGTATTAAGGACGGTCGATGAATACATATATCTTGGACAGAAAATATCCTTCAATAAGAACGTGCAACTAGCAGAAATCAACAGAAGGATACAACTTGGATGGGTAGCGTATGCAAGGCTTAATAACGTATTTAATACCAGTTTTCCGTAACACCTCAAAACCCAGGTCTTCGACCAGTGTGTGCTGCCAACTATGACCTATGCTGCAGAAACGTGGACCCTGAACGGCAATTTAATCAATAAACTTGGAACAAAAAATATGGAACAAAATATGCTGGGAATTCGACTACGAGATAGGAAAACCATCGAGTGGATCCGCCAGAAAACAAAAGTAATCGCCATTGCTGAACATATAGCAAGATTAAAATGGAAATGGGCCGGACAGAGGACAATAGGTGTCTAATCTTGAGAAGTATTCAAAATTAGCCATAAGAGAAATTTATAGGATTTAGTTAAAAAACCATAAAGTGGACCAGTTTGATTATATTGACCTGCATTGACGCAACCATGTAATACAAACAATAATCCAATATTGTTATTAATTAACTAGCAAGTTTTACAATACCAACCTAATTGCAGCAATCTGCAAAATCATCATCATTCCAAATTACGTTTATTTTATTAATAATTTTTGTGTATAAATATCGGCTCATTTCAAATAATAAATTAATATCAAACCTTTACTGGTGTATTACTCACTTACCACAAAACCCTAAGCCTATACCCAGAGTGTGAGGCTGCACTCTACCTAAAGACGAAAACCCTTCACAGTCGTCACCTCTACAGGGCACTGTGAAAATACCGACACCAAGGTTCTCCCATATCAAAAGGGAAATTCTTTCATTGGTCCTTCGAGCAAAAGAAGAAGAAGATAAAGGTTGAAAACCAGACCTTCCCAACAGTCCCCCCCTCATTCCTACTCCTCAAATTACCCATACACTCGCTCCCTTCGGGGTTAACGTTTAGACACCGGTCTAAACAACCATCCAAAAATACCTTCTTTCCTTGCTGTAGCAAGTGCTTTGTCTGGCTACAGCATCCCGACTGATTAGGATTCTCTCAAGCCTGCGCGGTGCCCAAGCAAGCCCTTGGGTGGGAGTGGTTCTTTTCAGTCAATCCCTAGTATAGCAAGTGCTTTGTCTGGCTATACACTCATTCCTACACTCAATTACATACACTTTCGCGACCTTCGGGGTTAACGCTTAGATACCGGTCTAAGCATCCAAACCTCAAAGCCTCCACTGCCCTATACCTATAAGGTCCTTCCAAACCTCAAAACCTCCACTGTCCTATACCTATAAGGTCCTTCCAAACCTCAAAAAAACAAAAAAAACCAGAAAACCTTCGATCGCCACCGACGGATCACGTGCACCAGCCACCGCCGTCCATTCTCAACTTCAAAAGAACTTCAATAATATTACACTCCAACGTCATTTCCAAGTCACATCGAGCAGACAAACCATCATCAGTAGTGGATCAAGTCAACCAGTCGGTCAAGTGCATCAGTCACCGCCGTCCAACAACAAGTGAAAAAACACAACTTCACCCAAATTCAGAAAAATGCCTACCATAGGCGAAGAGATGGACCGTCTTGCGCTGGAACAACAACAACACGGGCGAGACCTACAACGTATTCTCACGAATATGAAAAAAGATGCCACAAGCCGAAAAACAATCCAATACTTCGAAGGAAAAATCAAATCAGTGGAATCATTATGGACCACAATCTATGAGAATGACAAGAAGATCAACGAATTGAGTTGCCCCACCCACAATTACCATACCACGAACTACATTGAACAACTCAAGGAGGTCTACACTGACACAGTGGATTACATAGAAGACGGTATAAAAAAGGCCGAAGCCCGAACAAAACAAAACGAGATGACATCAAAACTAACAGCACTGCTTAACCAGATGGAAGAATTCCTCAACGACACTATTGCAGAAATAGATGATCGCACCCCAACCAATCGCCGTCAGCAGCTCCAATACAAAATAATCGAGAAATGGAGACAGATTTCGGACCTGTACCTACAACTCGAAATTCAATCGGTCCATACACCTTACAAAATCGCATATAAAGCACTTGAGAAACAACACGAGCAGATACTCCTACAGCTACAGCCGAATACATCTACAACCAATCATCCAAACACTCCAGCATTGCCACAAGCCATGCCCACTGTCATTATCCAACAACCAAGGTCAAACAACATATCTCTGCCTCAAGTGAAGCTGCCAATGTTTGACGGATTATATGAAGAATGGGCCACCTTCAGGGACATTTTCACGAAAATTGTTCATGAGAATAATGACCTCACCGACATCGAAAAGATGAAATATCTGAAGACTCACGTACGAGGCACGTACGAGGTGAAGCCAGTAAAGTCATTCAACATCTACAGATAAACAGTGACAACTACAGTACAAGCTGGAACATTCTCGAGAGAAGATACTACAACGAGAGACTAATCATCAACAAGCTGATTGATAAGATATTGGAAGCACCATCAATCACTCACGAATCAGCATACAAGCTGAAGCAACTACATGACGCAATGATAGAATGTGTCGAAGCGCTCAACAACATGAAGGTAGACACCAAATCATGGGGACCATTAATCTCAAGACTAATCTGCCGCAAATGGGACTCCGAGACAAATCGATTATTCGAGCAATCGTTGCGAGAGCGAAACAAAATGCATCAGCTAGACGACGTACTCAAATTTCTGCAAACAAGATTTCAATCCCTTGAAGCTTGGGTACAAGGTAAAAAGAAGTCCAGCGAGCAAACCCACAGCACAACTGAAAACTGCGGATACTGCAACGAGTCTAACCACAGCATCTACAACTGTCAGAAGTTCCAAGCACTAACTCCAGCTGCAAGACTTAAAGTCATCAAGGAGAAGAAGATCTGCATAAATTGCCTGAGACACCCAGCGCACATAAGATGTAATTCAACCGTCGTCAGCAAGATGCATTCATCTGTGCACCGACTACGATCGCAAAACACTTCGTGCGCACTACGAAAAAAGACCTTGATATCTAGTATCATATGGAAACGTTTGAATACACCTAATGCTTGGATGTTCATTAGCGCAGACCAAGTCAAAGTAGCAATCATCTGCGATGGCATTCGTGAAGAAGTGACACTCAACAAAACAGGGATTGTGGTCATATCCCAGAACTGCATCATAAAAACCAACAAAAACATTTTAACTCCAAAAAGAGCTGAATCAGTGACTGTTCTGGCATCCATGACACAACCGATCAACCCAAACACAACAGATGCGTCGGTTTTCCAATTAGGACACGAAATTCTAGAAGAACCAGTTCTAGAAGCCTCAGCATCTTTGGATAGAATTGAAGAGGAAGAATCAGATATTCAACAGCAACTACAAGAAACGCATTGGGCTTCCATACACCACCTAGCAGTATTCGGCACTGTTACATCGAGTACACTTATCACCATCATAATCTTGGCACTCTTGGGATATCTCGGGTATCGAAAACATAAGACGAAACCAAGACGTCAAGAAGACCACAATATCAACGGAATACCCTTGGAACCGCTTCGAAGCTACAGCAGGAACCACGAAATTGACACCGATGCCAGCAGCTGACCAAGATTGCGGCGGCCAGAATGTCTAATCTTGAGAAGTATTCAAAATTAGCCATAAGAGAAATTTATAGGATTTAGTTAAAAAACCATAAAGTGGACCAGTTTGATTATATTGACCTGCATTGACGCAACCATGTAATACAAACAATAATCCAGTATTGTTATTAATTAACTAGCAAGTTTTAAAATACCAACCTAATTGCAGCAATCTGCAAAATCATCATCATTCCAAATTACGTTTATTTTATTAATAATTTTTGTGTATAAATATCGGCTCATTTCAAATAATAAATTAGTATCAAACCTTTACTGGTGTATTAGTCACTTACCACAAAACCCTAAGCCTATACCCAGAGTGTGAGGCTGCACTCTACCTAAAGACGAAAACCCTTCACAGTCGTCACCTCTACAGGGCACTGTGAAAATACCGACACCAAGGTTCTTCCATATCAAAAGGGAAATTCTTTCAATAGGTGAACAAGAAAAATTACCGAATCGTGACCAAGAACTAGCAAAAGGAACCCAGGAAGATCAAAGACCAGTTGGAAAGATGATATCCAGAAAGTGGCAGGAGTACAGTGGATGAGTAGAACAGGCGACAGAACCGGATGGAGACAACTTGGAGAGGCGTATGTCCAAATGTGGACCGAGACGCGCTGAGAATGATGATGATGATAATGAACTGTTTTTGCAGAAGTATACACTTACCTATTAATTTAATTTAATACAACTGAAGGTGTGTATTATCGTTAACATGGTAAAAATGGTCTCTTCTCTCTCTCTTCTCTGAACAACAATTGGTTAACTGCGCTACCGATACTAACTATGGTGTATTTATGACTGAAACTTTACCCTACGTCGAACAGTACGGTCTTCAATCTGAAGAAACTTACCCTTATACGTGGCTCAAGACACTGCCTGTAGTTATAACTCCTCCAAAGTCGTTACCAGAATTAACAACTACTTTCCGCTTCCAGCAGAAGATTGAAAGTGCTCTTTTAGAAGCTGTAGCTGAAGTCGGTCCAGTGTCCGTTGCTATAAATGCTGCTTACATAAGTTCCTACGCCTCTGGCGTCTTCGAAGAGGCTGAGTACTCACCCGAAGACCTCGACCACGGTGTGCTCGTTATAGGATATGGAACATAAAATGGAAAAGATTATTGGATTGTCAAGAATTCTTGGCGTGTTGATTGGATTGAAGAAGGTTACATTAAAAATGGCACGTGGAAAAAACATGCGTGGTATTGCTGAAGTATCTGTATAAAATTACATTCTACTTATCTGTTTTATTATCTTTTCAAGAGCGTTACAAGCAATAACCTTTTAGTTTAAAGAAAGCTCCGGTTTTTTTTTTCAGCTGAAATTAAATCGCGACCGGAATCGATCAATAAGTGCCCACTTACGACATGCGAGTTTGAAGATTATCCCTGTTATCATGTAACAATATATATGATTTTTTCCTCTCTTTTCTTTTAGAGCATTCAATGCTAATTTAGAATCAAATTTGTAAAATAAGAAGAGTTATAACAGACTTGTTAGGCTTTGTGATGATCAAAATTTTGACCAACTCTTTCGATTGTTGGCCAGAAACATCCACCAGTATCCTTATGGATGAGAAGTGGGAAATTGATAGTCAATTTTCATCAAATCGACTTTATTAGCATCCCTCCATTTTTTACTCAGATGTATCATCTATAATTGAAATACTAGAAATAATAAAATAGAAAGGATTATGTATGAGAAGAAATTCGATTTTCTAAAGGCTAGATTTTGAAAATAGGAAAAACTATCATAAATCACTCTAATTTCACATCTGGACTAAGGCTATAAATAAAGATTATAGGTACCTCTGATGCATCTGGGCATTGACGCTTTGATTTCGAGATATTCACTAGAAACTTTATCAGAAATTTGAAACAAAGTTTTTCTTTTGCCACCCCATAGTCTTATACTTTGGTATTCAAATTATGTCCAGAAGTCACTGGAGGATGTTGAAATGACATTCAGAACAACATGTCAAGCCAACTCAGGGATTTTTTTCGATCCCGCGCTGTTTTGTCCTTCATTCTATTATTTATATAGGATTATCCAAGTTCACCTTGATAAAATAAGATTTAAAAAAAGACCCTAAAGATGGAGATTGCGATAAAGTTTTCATGGCATTATAAAGTGTGGTTATTGCCATTATGTGTTAATTAGGCTCTCCAACCACGTGATTTTTCAATATGGCGATCGTGGAAAATTTGGCGCTTGTTTGTTTATCTTGAGTTTATATGGAATATTTTCAAGTTAATTACAATTTACTTTTTTATAATATACCTTTTGAGATGCAGAGTGAATATTTAAAGACTTGAATGCAGGAAAATCGGGATCTGGACGAACAGTTAGTTTAAAAAAATGTCCAGATGACATTTTGATCCACAGTCCACATTAATGAGCAAATGAAAGCCTACAAAAGCTTAGATTCTTACGAATATTTCGAAAATGGCGTTATTTCAGATACAGGTGCAAAAAAAAAAAAATGAAAATTGAGAAAATTGGAGAAACGAAAAAAGTTTTAAAAAAAAGTAGTGAAAAATTTTCACGTTTTAATTGGAACATTTTAAAACAAAGGGCAATGAAAAAAGCCTAACATCATCCTTGTTACCTTGTTGAAACTACTTCCACAATCAACTTCAAGACCCGTTTGTGGCATTTTTAATTGGAAGAAACACTAATGAAATCAATAAAATAAAAAAATAAACAGAGTTCATTCACAAAACAACAACGAAATGCACTTTAAAAAGCTCTAAATTACATACTCTCATATCCGGGATAATGAACTTCCGCCACAACGCACTTTTTGACAGGTCGTTGGAATGCCTAATTATAATATCATTTGAATATCCTATACAGGACCTCCTGCAGGACTCAATCCTGTTGAGGTGATTTTGGTAACTTTTTGGCACATTTCAGGCATATCCCGGTCATAACTTGACGAATATTGTTTTCCAACGCGTCAATCGTTAGGCATCCATCCAACTAAACAACTACCTACCTATTTTGTTAAAATGTGTCCCTGACCTCTATCGAATGTCACGCATGGTGACGCGTATGTATTCTCAAGCACAAAATGGATAACCCTATACTTTTCTATATAGATGACAAACGATAATTCTTCGAGGATTTTTTCGCACATCAACGCAAATTCCTTATTCAAAGATAATTTTTTTTTGAAGGACTTCATATAATCTGAAGTAGAATTTATCGAGGCAAAATCTTAAGTGCCTTCATTGTTTGCATCTTATATAAATGTCGGTCCAGCACGTTTATAGCAATAGTCAGTGTTCTTCAATTGTAAGAATATAATAAACATGAAAGCTTTCTTCTTGGCTAGTTTGCTGGTAGTCGCCGCCAGTGCGTCCCTTTTGCAGGAGCATGCGGTGAAATTCCAAGCATTCAAGGTAAGACTTTGAAATTTTCCGATAATAAGATCTTTTTAAAAATAATTTTAAGATGGCCCATGGTAGAACCTACCTGAACCAAGTAGAAGAAGCCAAACGTTTCTCCATCTTCAGAGACAACCTCCGCTCAATTGAAGAACACAACGCCCTCTACGAACAAGGACTTGTCTCTTACAAACAAAGTAAGTCCTAATTCTATCTAAATTGAATTATTTAATTTAACCCTTCCTATGTAGAAATTACCAAATTCGCCGACAAAACCAAAGAAGAATTCAAAGCATTTTTGACACTTCACAAAAAACCTACTTTATCAAAGACCACTAAGTACGTCAAAACAGGAGTTGCAGTACCTGACTCAGTAGATTGGAGACAACAGGGACAAGTGACTCCAATTAAGGACCAAGGAAATTGCGGATCTTGCTGGGCATTCTCTATTGTAAGTAGATACCTACCTAGATGGTGAAATTTATTCAAGATTGTGTAGTTGACCCAATTTTTCTTCAAAAATACCTTTCATAATTCTCTATTTAGTATCGATTCTTGAATGTCTAGAGTAATTGATTTTGCAGAAGTATACAAGTACTTACTTATTAATTTTCTAAATGTTTCTTCAATTTAGACTGGTACAACTGAAGGTGCGTATTACCGTAAAAATGGAAAATTGGTCTCTCTCTCAGAACAACAATTGGTTGACTGCGCTACCGATGTTAACGATGGTTGTCAGGGTGGATTTATGACTGAAACTTTACCCTACGTCGAACAGTACGGTCTTCAATCTGAAGAAACTTACCCTTACGTGGCTCAAGATAATGCCTGCAGTTACAACGCCTCCAAAGTCGTTACCAAAATTTCCAGCTACGTTGTGCTCCCAGTAGAAGATGAAAATGCTCTTTTAGAAGCTGTAGCTACAGTCGGTCCAGTTTCCGTTGCTATAGATGCATATTACATAGATTCCTATGGTTCTGGCGTCTTCGAAGACGCCGACTGCTCACCCGATTTCCTCAACCACGGTGTGGTCATTGTAGGATATGGAACAGAAAATGGAAAAGATTATTGGCTTGTCAAGAATTCTTGGGGTACTGGTTGGGGTGAAGAAGGTTACATGAAAATGGCACGTGGAATAAACATGTGCGGTATTTCTGAAGAAACTGTTTATCCAGTTGTATAAACATAACGATATATACCTAATGGATTGAACAATTATAAAATTCCATTCTATTTATTTGTTTTATTATTTTTCCGAGGGCATTGCCAACAATAATCTGGCGTAGATAAATGTGGATTTTTTAGCTGAAATAAACCCCCGTTTGAGTATAATATTCAGGTTTGATTAATCCGAGTATTCGAACCTTATCCAAACCAGAGAATAGTTGAGGATGTTGATTATTTTTCAATAAACTATCACTCACTCTTCTTTGGTGGACGGCTCCGTTTAATAGCGCGTCGTTGCTTCTAAATAATTCGCTTTCGTTCTTTTGGATTATTGCGCGGTAGAATTTCATTGGCGAATTTTCTAGTTAACAGAAAGTGTTGCAATAATTTCCCCAAATTTAGAGATGATATATTTATAACAATATCTTCGATGTTTTTAAAAGTTCCTTCAGATTCCTCAGTATCTTGATTATCATCATGGGGGCACAAAAATTAATACTGCCAAACCAGAAAACGCTAAAAACGCGTCGTCGTCAGTAGAAGCCATGATGACTGAGACTGAAGAATTTTCAGATTCGACTGAACATTTGGAGAGGCATCAATCTATCCGGTGAACTGTTCAGTTCGAACTAACAGGCCTGCCGGACCGTGTGTAGCCGGCTTAAGGGGGACAGGATTCAAAATTGATGATGAATGGATTGGATCGTTACTTGGCGGGACTTCCAGATAAATATTCCCAATGATTATGGCCATCGAACATGGTGGAATCCAAATTAAAACTGATGCCATAAAGACTAAATTGCTAGAAATGGAAGTCGATGATAACACAGGTTACGCACTAATCGGCAGATTTGTTCCCAAAGGAAAGAAAAAGTTTAGCAAAAGTGGAAGGAATACGGCAAACGAGTCACTGTCGCAATCCGGCTCGAAGGACAGTTCAATCATTGCTCTAATTGTAAACAAAGAGGGCACTCACTACAAGAGCCAATGTACTCATTTGAATTCAAAAAATGGAAATTGAGGAAATTCTGTATTCAGTGTAATATTTTTGGGCGGACATATCTTCCAAAAAGATGAATGGTATTTGGATTCAGGGGCTAGTGTCCACCTAACAACAAACAAGGACTGGACAGTTGATTTAAAAAGTATTCAAAGCCTGAGTGAATTAGATTTGTAGAGCCGACAAATTGAAAATAGCCGTGGAGTATAGAGGAAATGTGAACATCAATACAGTTGCTGGTAAGAAAAATTTCGATATAGAAATAAGAAATGTTTCATAGGTGCCACAAGTTGCTGAAAATTTATTGTCAGTCAGCCAATTCATTAAGAATGGTAATAGAGTTATATTCAGTGGCGCAATTAGGGGGGGGGGGGGGGCTGGGGGGAGCTTAGCCCCCCCAAGCTCAAGATTAGCCCCCCCCCAAATCCGATGGTCACAAAGATAATGGTAATGACACAAATTAGCCATCCGCCCTCCCAAACCCGAGCGAGCAGATCTGGGTCGCTTTCCAGTGACGCACTTTAAGCACTCCTGAGCTGCTCTAGAGCGCCCTGGACTGTTTATAGGCGTTCCAGTGCATTAGAGTTTCACGCAACTGAACTTTCGTTTTTCCTCTCCCTTTTCAAGCACCTGCTATTTTATGGAGGCATCAAAAACACGAAGCTTAAAGTAGAGTGCGTTCCAGTGACACAACAGTTTTTAACCCTTTCGTCTGCTGGTCCGTGTCTGTTTGTGAACTTAGGAGGAATTTAATTTAACAGAACTTGTTCAGCTTTTAAATTGTTTTTAGTACCGATTTGATTAGTTTAAGAAGTTTTAAACTCAATATATTTTTACTTACATATTATGTATGTATGTACACGGTATTTGATTATATTTGGCACCATACCTACAGCCTTTACTATTTAAGATAGAAAAAAATTGTAAACACAAAACTTGACAGTTTTTTTCTATATTTTCTTTTAACGTTATCAGAAAAAACAAAATCGCATCGGAATATGGAGAAACGTAGACAACTTCGACTTTTTTAAATGGAACACCCTGTATATTTTGCGATAAAATTGAAGACCTTTTCTTCCTGATTACAAATATATATATGTTGATCATATTTGCATGAGCCATTTTTGACATATCTCAGCTCAAATTCTAACTGAATTGCAAAGAAATTTTATAAAGATAGAGATCCTTATGGAACTTCTCTGCAAATTCTCTATAATTCAACCTGAGATATGTCAAAAATTGCTCAAGCAAATGTTATCAATATATATATATTTGGAATCAGAAAGAATAGATCTTTAATTTTATCGCATAATATACAGGGTGGTCCATTAAAAAAGTCAAAGTTGCCTACGTTTCTCCATTTTCCGATGCGATTTTGTTTTTTCTGATACTGTCAAATTTTGTATTTAATTTTTTTTTCTATCTTAAATAGTAAAGGCTGTAGGTATGGTGCCAAATATAATCAAATACCCTGTACAAAAATACTACTAGGCTGCATATATAAAACAGATTATGTAAGCAATACAGAACTGGTCAACACAATTAAAGCTGCTTTTTCCCAACAAAATAAAACAATTATTTTTGGTGACTTCAACTATCGAGAAATAGTCCAAACAGTCAAGCATGATATTTCAGCTTCAAAGAAACAAATGCTTACCAAATAGTGAACTTTCACACTAGAATAAGGAGACCAGCAATCGCTTTTAGACCTGATGTTGGTAAGTGAAAAGAACTTATTCAACATTAAAAGTAACTCTCCAATTGGAGGCAGTGATCATGTAGTTATCACTGGCACATCCTAAATAAAGGCAAAAGGGAAGGAGACTTTTAAAAGACAAACAAGAAACATCTGGAAAGCAGACTCTCTGTGGAAATGGAACTCTCTGAGTGAGGAGATCGTGAGTGCCCCAAGCATCAACAGCTTCAAAAATCGTCTGGACTCAGCAATGGTGTTTTTGTGCATTATGTGCCATAAAAAAACTGGAACGTATATGATGTGACCAACTGGAAAATATGTTCCGTTCCACCTGAAATTAACATTGACATATTCTCGATTATCCTAGAGCAAATATAGTCAGGAATTATATCCGTAGAACCTCCAAAAGTGCTGACAGGTGAAGATACACAAAGTTAGCCCTGAAAAAACCAATTGAAGATGTCCAAAACGCTAAGAGAACAATATACGATGCTGCCGTTTTCTATGACATCCCAAGATAAGACTCTTTGTATTTGGATCAAGAGGGAAAGTTATATTGTCGGTAGCAGGATAAGGTGGTGGAGGAATATATGAATGGATTAGAAGAAGAACTGTCAACTGTGCTGAACACCACGCAGAAATTGTTTTGTTGTAGACACGGTTTAGAGTTTTATTAATTTTTCTGTATATTTTATTATTGAAACACTTACTTTTTATTAGAATATTTTATTATTAACTTTGTTCTCATGACAAATCGTGAGAGTAACTAGCTGCCATTCTCTAAAAACTACCATCTATCTGATGACAAATATGACCTGTATGTTATTCCAAAATACCAAGTAAAATATAAATTATGTGATGTGAGGTTATGGCATCGTCAACAGGTGAAAATTTCGAAGTAAAAGAAAAGTTTTGCAAACATTGTAAAAAAAAAGTTAGTTCGCCGTTAAACTGTGAAATTTGTGAAACATCCTACCACCCAAGTTGTGCAACCCAGGCAAAAGTGGTGCATAGGGGTGGAAAAGTAATTTGTTGCAAATCACAACAAAGAAGTGAGGTTAGAAAAGGAAAACTCGAGGAAAATCTTTGTAATATGGATGAAGAAAAATTAAAAAAGATTGTTAGAGGCCTTCTCGTGGAGTTCCTAAATCCTTTCGAAAAAAAACTGGAAGGAATGGAAGAATCTGTCCAATATATGTCGAATAAGTTCGAAGAACACAAAACTGCCACAGACAATTTCATGACAGAACTAAAAGCTCTGAGACAGGAAAATAATGATCTAAAGGAGCGAATAAGGCTACTGGAGACCAGGGCTAACAACAAAGACCAGAAAGAAAAGCAAAACAACATCATTGTCGCCAGAATACCAAAACAAAAAGAAAGTGATATAAAAAAAGTGATTCAGAAAGTAGTGTCAACTATGAAGATAAAAATTGAGAGTGAGGACATCCTGGCAGGCTATAGAATCAAGGAAACCGATGATGCACCAATATTGGTGAAGCTGAAGAATACAGAGTTGAAAGTGCAAATATTCAAGAGAGTGAGAGAACTGAAGGGATTGAAAGTGAAAGAATGTGGCTTGGACGGAATGGACAAAAATATTTACTTCAATGAGGACCTAACATATCAAAATCAAATGCTGTTTAAAAAAGCAAGAGAGCACAAGCGAAATCATCAGCTCACTGCAGCCTATTGCAGAAATGGGAAAATATATATTAAAAAAACTCCGAATGAGCCATCCATTCTGATAAGATGTGAGCAAGATCTCAAACAACAAAATTTGTAAAATAAGTAAGCCAAAAGTTGCATATAAATAATAATCTGTTAAAATGGATTTATTAACGAAACTCAATATTTTATATATTAACATCAGAAGCTTACGAAATAAAATCAATGATCTCATAGAAATAGTCAATAGTAGTCCAAAGGAAATACACATTGTAACCATAACTGAGACATGGGTATATCCCAACGAAACAAACTATTTTAATATACCAGGATATGATGCAACCCATGACTGTAGAGACAAGAGAGGGGGAGGATGCTGTATATTTGTAAAAAATGGAATAAAATTTAGCCCTAAAGATGTTAAATTGCTGTAATATTGTGACTATTCATATAAATAAGACTAACACCATTATAAACTGTATATACAGAGCACCAAAGAGCAATGGTACAATATTTCTTAATGAGCTGAGCACTATAATTGAGAAACAAAAAAGCCAATCAGTAATTATTGGGGATATGAATCTCAACCTTCTCGAAAATACAACTACAGTGAAAGAATATAAAAACCTCATGGAAATGAATGATTATGAAGTCCAAAACACTTTAAATATTGAAAATGCAACAAG